AGCTTTTTTCATTTTCTTGAACGCCTCTATTAAGGACAAAAATTTGCAATAGCTGTTTGTTTAAGAAGCTTCCAGTGTGTATTTTAACCGGTTTTTAACTCGCTSAGTAGGACAAAAGGAGCGCGATATTGGAGTACCTATATTAATACTCCGGAAGACATCTTTCCGAAGTAAAAGTTCAAATTCATTTTAAGACACACAATTAATTAGAGAAAAGTACTTATGAAGCTTTATAATGTACTTGTATCCATGGCAATGTAAAATCTAACAAATTCGTTGATTGCTCCAAAGTGTTTTGAGAAAAATGTTATGACAAAATAATTTGTCGATGATATCGAAACGATTTAATTTTCTCGTCAATTTTGATGAATGACATGACGTGTTGGCCATTAATTCGTTCCCAAAAAKATAATTAGGGTAATGTAACTGAGGGAAGTTGTTTTCCAATCGATTYAGAGGCCTGAACATATGTTGTCCTTACATACCCCGCAGGCGTGCAGAGCAGATTGTCTGATTCGACCAGATTCGATATATCAACACGATATCTTTAACAAAATCGTATCCTCAAATTAAGAATAAGCAAATGAACTCATTCCCTTAGTGAGTTGTAGCAGAAGCGTTTGTACACTGTGTGGCACTAATCATGGGTGAAAATAGTAAGAATAAGATAACAAACAAGGTTATAGCGTCATTAAGATTCAAAAAGGCAATCATAGCCGTTCGTTTCGTTGTATCTTTGATGGATATGTATACCTACCAGCCGTCAAAATACAGACAACACCAAAGCAAACGAATGACAAAGAAGATACTTGCTGACAGACGAACGCTTCAGCAACTCCTCGAGAAGGATACAGACCTTAAGGTAGAGGTGATGTTTAATCTCTTTTTACTTACTTTTAAAGCGTTTTTTAACGAGGATTAATTGAATTTCATTGTCCGTTTTGTGTACATTGGTAAATTCTATACCCAACCCAATGCAAACAATACTTGACACCTTGACAAGAAAACCGTCACTGCAGCTTAAATCAGCAAACAACAAAGTGTTCTTAAATTTACTGATTGAATACTTTTGTCGTTTTTTAATTAACTTGTGTCAAAATGCAACGATATATGATGCACTGAAAATAACATACGTTTTTTACATTAGCGGCCACATAATAACTGTCTTGTAGAGTGTTGTTCTCGTGTTCGCTTGGAGTGACTACTATATTTAAAAAACATCTGTTCACAAATAGTAAAAGATATGTCTACTGTGAAAAATGGGATTCAGTTACTGGTTTACCATAGGACAAGAACATTCTTGTGCTCAGCCAATCGAAGTTTCCGATGCTAACTTCATTTTACTCATTGATATCTCTATTTTAATTCCGGAAAGASCGTCAAGAAATAAAACGAGTGAATGGTTGAGAATGAGATAGGATGGAAGGAAAATATATAAGAAAGAAATACAGAAACTTTGATATGGGAAATCTATTGAAAGGGTGTGGTCGATTGATGATCATGATCGATTTCATGAATTGTTATTAAACTGTAAATACAAGCGAGTCTTTCAATTTTTTAACTGATAGTGTATATTATCTTACGCCATATGCAAAGCATTCAGATTGAATGTAGTCACCTTGATGAAAATTAAATTGTCAAAAAGCAACTGATGATGCCGCAAAGGATCGTATCTGCTTCAAAATCTTGAACAGTGTTTGCAATATATTGTTAAAGTTCCACTTTAAAGGTCCTTATTATCAGTCGATTAAGGCGAAGTACATAATTTAGTCCACTTTCCGAAAAAACTGACCTCCCACTTCGGGTCGCTTCTCGATTCTCCAACGGGCCAGCTTCGTGGCTTAGCCGGATGGTTGCCATAGAAACGTTGTACARCGAGCAAAAAAGCAGTTCGGCAAAGAAAACGCTCAAAAGGCTATATTTTGTGGTGAATTTTGCTATCTCAAATGATTGAAGTATGTCAAAGGGGAAGGCAAAAGAGCTTCAGGTTAGTTTACTTTAAGAAAACGTTCTGTCTGGACAATTTCGTCTATGTTTACAGCCTAAAAAACCTGAGGCYTCAGAAGTATTCAAATTTGGTATTTTCTGTAATCGCTCGATTACCCTTGTGTTTGTTGAAATCTTGAGGAGGCATGCTGCTTTTTGTATATCGCAGTTGCCTAAGTCTTTTCATTTTCCAGAATACATAGGTTCTCTATTGTTAAAAACTGCTTGTGTCAATATGTGATCGTTTGCCATTTCATTGTATAAAATCAGTGTCTTGCAAATGCGCTTCATGTGTTTGAATATTCCTCATTTTGAAGAGTTTAATCCCTCTTCTCGTCAAGAGATAAAAAAGATTGAGTGTGAAATACTTTATTATCAAAACGAGGGATTGTATATTGCGAATTTTGACAATTGTCTGTAATCATACTGTGAAGTGAAGTAACTTAATTTTGTATAATTTCTAATCTGAGCAGAAGTAGCCATATTAGCAAATGTTCTTCTTTTGCAAAATATATTTTATTTTATTTTAATGGTATGGCAATAAAACAGTCTGGCAGAGAACGAAAGCAGTAACGTACTATGTAAAGTAATCCGGAAACAAAAGTAATAACTCTATATAAGCTTAAAACTTTCTTAATTTTTTATATGCAAATCACAGCCAATATTCTTGAACCCAAAAGTTGTCAAGTTGCAAACACTGTTTTAGAACAAGTTTCACAAGATAATAAGAGTGAAAACAAATATCAAGTCAAGTCGTGTTGAGAAAATATTTGATTAATACGTCTCTGCTAAATATTAACTTGAGAGAAGAACTGGGCATAAATTAAGGCCACCTAGAGACGGACCTGTGTATACAAACTAGATCCAAGATGGCGTATATCAAGAAGAATCCAGATGCTCAAAGGCCGCTACAGGCAAGGGATTACTGTACTAAGGATTGTTTTGAGGACATTTCTTTTGTGCGATTCAAAAATTGTTTCGAATCAATAAGCTTAAATTAATCTAGGTGCAAAAGCGTGACTTTTGGTTGGCAACAATGGAACGCTTGTAACATTTGTACTCATAAGTGACTGCTCAACTTCAGGCGCAAAACATTCGTTTTAAAACTTTTTAAAAGACGTATTTGAGCATTTAGATTTATAAAATAATTTGTAAGGTTATTGGAATACCCGATAAATCTGTCATGTAATCGTCCCTTGAGAATTCAATTGAATTTTGGTTAAGATGTCGATAGTTGCTTCAATGTTAAACGATATTTTGCATACTTTTTACGTTATATTAAAACAACGATGTGATTCCATTCTTTATCTACGTTTTCTCTGAAATATTTGATTTAGAAATGTGACCTCTAAGATTTGATATTTCCAATAATAAATTATTGTTATGTTGATATACTAGCATGTAATTCTCCATAGTAACACAAGTCAGTCAATTTAGATGCATGCGTTTACTTAGTTTTTTTCCTTTTCTCTGCTTCAAAAGTGAAAACTAAACTTAAGCTTCATATGTTATAATAGTAGTATAATACRGAAGTTAGTTTATGATCATAAGACACTTGAAAGGTAGATGAGGCAGGAAGGGGAGAATGACATATGAGAGGGTCAAATGTAGAATCTACTCATCCTAACATTTACAAGTACAACACATTGTATTCCTACATCTCGTTTTCTCATTAGACTGAAGTAAAGACCCAGGAGCAATGGGATGAACTCATCACAAAGGAAGGGATGATTGGTAATGCAAACTTTATGTGCACTCAATAGATGTCTCAAAGGCTAGCATGTATATTATATAGCATAGCTTCTTGCTGAAGTACTTTTAGAGAGTATCGCAGGCGTATATAAAATCCCAAATACTGAAAACTGGGCATGACCTACCACCATTTTTGCAAGTTGTCATTGTTAGTTTAGAATTTACACTCAACCCCAAGTTATGATTAATTTTTCTTTGTTTATCAGTTGTTGATGCCTTCTCTGCCTGGTGTGGACCATGTAAAGCTATAATCAGCTCTTTTAAAAGACTGAAAAATGAAATAGGAGATGATTTGCTTCATTTTGCAGTGGTTTGTATTTAATCTATCATCTTTTTTTATATTATTATAACATAGAAGTTCAAGTGTGGCAATTAATTGCATTTTTTTTTAACTCACTAAGTGATGACTCAGTACATCTCTTTATTTATTTATTTTTTTTGCTTCATTGCAAAAATTTCATGAATCATGTTTTGATCATCATGATCAAACTGATCAAAAACTAATCAGTTCTAGTTGTAAGATAAAAATCTACACAGATTTCTATAGCTACTTTGTGTTGTTAAAACGCAGTTTGTATTTACAGGCAGAAACTGACACCATTGATTCATTAGAGAAGTACAGAATGAGGAGTCAACCAACTTTCTTATTTTATGCTGTAAGTTAACAAGTTACCTTCCAATGAATACAAACAGTATGTTATTCATGGACATTGCTGTACCACTAGTGATGCTACTATTTCAGAAACCAGAGCTGCCTGTTTTTGTGTACAGAATGACAGTCTTGTTAAATTGATTTAATGTAAAAATTAAATGTGATATAATGTTTCAGGGTGGGATTCTAGTAAATGTTGTCAGAGGATGCCATTGTCCTCTCCTGCTGAAAACAATAAGACAAGAGCTTGAGAAAGAACACAAGGTTCTTGAAGGACACTGTGAAAGAGAAAGGGTATGTAGATATTATTCCTCCTAATGTTTTTCAGCTTCTTTCTTTCTCGTTTTTGTTTGTTTGTTGTTTTTTCAGACAAGTTCATGTCTTGCATCTAACAACAGTTTGGTGCATATTACTTAATAGTTATCATTATTTGGATGGTAACTCATGTTTCTTGTGTTTTTCAGTTTATTGACACTGAAGTGAACAAGGTTGCAGATGAAGAAATAGAAGAAAAGAAACCAGACGAAGAAGAGGAGGATGAAGAAGAAGAGATTGGTAAGACAGCTATAGATTACAAATTAGTATTTGATAAATACAAATGTTACTCAATCTCAGGAAGGAACTTTATGAATTACATTGTTCACCTAGACTAATACAAAACAATCCTTGTGTCATTTGAAACTTTGTTCAGTTCTTGATAATATAATGTTATTGTTTGGATAATGCAGTGGCTGAAGAAATGAACAAACAGAGAAGTAGTTATATCCTAAAGCGTGCTTCAGCATCTAAAGGTAGTGTTAGGCAAATAGATATTTAGAATCTATACTAGGTAGATTTAGAAAAAATAGAAAAATGGGCAGATACAGAGTAATTAATCTGTTTGCAAGGTATTTTCTTTGAAAACTTAATCTGGAAATCATAAAATGTTGGTCTCATCCTAAAAAAACTTCACTCTAACCCCTCCCCAACTTACTATTCACATACTGACATCAATTAATTGTTCGTTTCATTCAATAATGATTCATGAGTTCTTCATCCATCCTGGTCCATCATATCATTCATTTATCCGTTCTTCTGTTCAGTATCATTAATTCATACTAGAGGATATAGTTTAATAGTTATGTTGTTTGACTTTCTTATTCAGTAAGATGTGTATTTGAAAGGAAAATTAAATTAATCTAGTTCAAATAATTTGAATATTGCAGTTCATCTACCCAAGCAAGTGACACTAGCAATCATAAAACCAGATGCTGTAAAGGCAGGGCTTGTGGATGATATCATCAAAAAGGTCAATCATTTTGATATGTAGAGGGAAGCAGCACAGCTAAGTGGGCATAGTATTTTTGGTTGCCATCTGATGAAAGCGTTTACTGTAACTGAATATTGTTGATATTGTTTCAAATGGTAACCAAGGTTTGATTTAATCTAGGTTGAGGATATGGGAATCGAGATTCTGAAAAAGGAAGAGAGAACATTAACAAAGGAAGAAGCTGCAGAGTTTTATAAGCAACATGAAGATTCAGAACACTTTGAACAACTGATAGAATTCATGTCAAGGTACCTGAACTTTGCACATTTCAGCTTTATATTCTTAAAATGGTTGAAAATTTCACAGAATGTTTCCATTTAATTAGTGGTCCGTTGATGACATTGGCATTAAGCAAGGCTGGGGACACTCCAGAAGCAGTAGAAGGTGTCATAGATAGCTTTAGAGAACTAATTGGTCCAAAGGATGTCAACATTGCTAAAGAAGAAGCACCTGAAAGGTAAAGACTGCTTTCCTTTATTGTAGATTTTACTGTAGCTGTGAGGTTCCTGTCATCTGTTTCTTCAAAATGTTTACCAAAGTATTGATTTGCTGTATGGTGTTTTTTGTTTTCCAGCTTAAGAGCAATCTATGGTACTGATACGGTAATGAATGCTGTTCATGGCTGTGACTCCAGTGAAAGTGCTGCAAGGTAAACATGTATATTACTGTATAACCATAAAGCAATAATCATAGCAACAATAATGCTATATTACAAAGATACGTCAACATAGCTTAGCAAATTATCTTCCTTTTTAATTGTGCAATTTATTTATTTTTTTTAACACAGAGAGCTTGCTTTCTTCTTCCCTGATTTTGCTGCCCCAACTGTTCTTGGTAAACGAAAGAAAAGACGTCTACAAAGGACCTTGGCTCTCATCAGACCTGATGCACTCAGAACCAGAAAAGGTATTGCATGCTATAATGTTTGATTTTGCTTTATCTCAAGTCACTTATTGATATTGTTTTTTTTTTTTCAAGAATCTATTATCAACAAGATTCAAGAGTCTGGTTTTACGATTGCAATGTCCAAAGAAATGCAGCTTACTAAAGAACAAGCTGAAAACTTTTACTCAGAGCACAAAGACACAGAATATTTTGACCAATTGGTTAACAATATGATAAGGTAATTACAATACTAGTATCCATACTTAAAGATGGGTCTGAAACATGTACATGCAGAGATTAACTATGTAACCATCAAATGTTTAAATGTTCTATGATTCTTGCTATCAGTGGTCCCATGATGGCACTGTGCCTTGCTAGAGAGGATGCTGTGGAGGGCTGGAGAGAATTGCTTGGACCAAAAGAGGTAGAGGTAGCCAAAGAGGAAGCTCCTGAAAGGTGAAAAAAAGATAATTCAAATTGACAGAAAAGTCATACATCCTGGCATTATTTCCAGATACAGTACATGATGATGTATATGCTTTCTTTATTACAATATGCCTTCTTCTTTTGTACCACACAATGACCCTACATGTTTACACATTCACACCTACCAAAAACAAGCCCAGATACTCATTTTTAAATTAATAATGATTAGTAATTCATTGCAAATCCAAGTTGCTCAGAAAAGCTTCTTACAGCCTAGTGTTTTGGCAGCAAATGATTGGCAACACCACCTATAAGTTTGAAGTGTCAGTTGCTATAATAATTTTGCTGGTGTAAACTGATCTACTAACTCTCAACTAATGCTCAACTAATCAAAATAACCACCTACTTAGTTTCAATTAGCTTATTTTATCAATGATCTTCTCTTGCACTTAGTACTGATGATAAAGCAACTGTGCCTTCAAGGTAAGGCTTTAAATGCATATTCGCATATCACAACTAGGTGATTCAGCAATAATAATGTTAAAATACTATTTAATGTAATAAATTGCTCATATGTAAACAGTAAAAGATCATTATTAATAACATTAATTATATTAGATGAATAAATTAAATATTAATATTGCTTATTAAGATGTGCAAAGGATATAATATTAGAGGATATAACATGGGTGCGTGGAGACACAGATTTTGTCTTCAAGTGTTGAGAAGATCTCTCAGTAAAAATATCAACTTTTTCAAAAGAGAGAAATATAGGTATTTCATACATAATTATATATACATTGTAAAATTGTATCTTAACATATGTTTATTTATTAACTCAAACCATGATGCAGTTTTACTTAAAATCAAGCAGTTAATAAAAATAGAGAAAAGCATGTAATACCAATCTGTGTTTCACCTGCATCGGGTATAGGCTTATTATTACTATTTCATGCAACACCACAACAACTTTCCATTTGAAAATGTTTTAACTGAGGGTGTACAATGGGTCTATATGGCCTGCTACAGTATGGCTACTGACATTTTAACAAGCTTTGTAAAAGACTACTAGCTTATCAATCAATTTCATATTTCAATTCTTATAAAGTTAAATTACATGTTCTTTAGCTTACGTGCACAATTCCAAGTAGAAGACAGTCCAATCAACCCTCTCCATGGATCAGATAGCCCTAGTGCAGCTGAAAAAGAAATTGGTCAGTTCTTCCCAATGCAGAGTACTGTAGCTGTCATCAAACCTGAAGTAGAACCAGATCAAAGAGGTACCAATGCAAACACTACTGCACATTACTACATGTAACAGTAAAAACATCACATGCCAATCATTTTAAATATAACTCTAAAATTATCAAAATGATCTTCTATGTTAGAACTCATTAAGCAGAGAATAAAAGAAGCAGGATTTTCTATCCAAGCACAAAAAGAGATAACATTAACAAAGGAGTTGGCATCACAATTTTATCATGAACATGAAGGCAAAGAGTTTTTCAGCGATCTTACAGATTATATGGCAAGGTAATTAAGCATGTCTTCTTCCCTCCCTACTGTTTATCTCTTCTTTCTTCCTTCATGTATTTCCTTCCTGCATCCTCTCTTTCACTTACACCCTTCACTTACATTTTCTTCCCATTTATACACCCCTGCCTCAATTACTCCTTCAATTTCTACTTACATAAAATGAATTTCATCTTGCCATCACGCCAGTTTGCTCCTCCTTCTACTTTGTTCTTCCTCCATTCCTACCTCCTTGCTCTTCTCCTTACTTTCATTTCTTCTTCCTAATTTCCAACATCTCTACTCTCTTCATGTGCTACTTCTTCAATCCCCTCCTTCCTTCATATTGCTTGTTTTGTGTCATTCACTTGCTCCATTTTTTCCCTTTCTTCTGTTTCATTCTTTCCTTTTTTTTTCCACAGCGGTAAAACTATGTTCTTAGTATTATCAAAAGAAGATGCTGTGTCTGGATGGAGAGCAATGATGGGACCTAGTGATCCAACAGAAGCTAAAGAAGCAGCTCCTGAAACGTAAGTTACTTAATTGTTCTAAAAATATTTGTGTTTTTTTACAATAAAATATTATCCCTGCGGTTGTTAAAGTATAATTTTTACTGACATCAATATAACTTTGTTGATTGATTTTCTACTGCTTTAGGCTGCGTGCACAGTTTGGTGTAGATAAACTGAAGAATGTTGTCCATGGTAGTTCTAACCCAGATAAAGCAGTAGAAGTCATAAAGGAATTTTTCCCGGAGGTTGAGTTAAATCCAGATGGCACAGTGAAAGGTACCCAGGGATCCATTCAAGATATGCTATTTCATTTTTTACTGCTGCCTTTTTTTCTAAATATCAGATTGTTTGTTTGTAGTACCAGAGAAAAAGAAAAAAGATGTTGCTGCACCAGAGGAGAAGAAAGGTATTAATCCTCAAAGTTATGAAAAACTTGCATGATATTAACATTGTGGTGTACTTTTATATCAGAAGACCTCAGTACGGCACTTGGATTGGAAGATGGTAGGGTCCCAGATGAATCACTAACAGCATCATCTGAACTTGACGATGGTCATTCAGCTAAATGTGCAAGACTCAATATTCAAGCTGATGGAGATATGAAAGGAGCCTGGGCTGCAAAAGATAATGATGAAAACCAGTGGTTGCAAGTCAACCTTGGACAGTTTACTAGAGTTTCTAAGATAGCTACACAAGGTCAAAATGGAGAGAGTTCAAATCATGTGAAGACGTATGGTGTTATGTACAGTGGGGATGGTGAGACATTTATGGACTATGCAGTAGACAAGGTATGATAAATACATGATCCTAATAAACATGTCTTGTGATAAGCATAATTAAGAAAAATATCAAGCACAAAGCATTAGGTCTTGTTTAGATGCATTTCCTGTATGTAGTATGTTATGAACTCACTAAAACTTATTAAAGGGACACTGTCAATGGCACGCATGCGCGAGTAAACTTGAAAACATTAGGCTAGTGTTTTCAAGTTTATGACTCCAACTTGGCGCGACATAAATTATCAGCTCGTAAACGTAAACATATCTAGAATATTCCAAAGTGTGTCAAAAGCACCACAAAATGATTTACCTTGAAGGTAATACTTTCATAGTCCATTAGAGGTGAGACTGTTAATGTGAATGTCATCCATTGACAGTGTCCCTTTAACTTCTATGACTGAACATCATGTGCAGCCAGTCGATGATGAAAGTTCTGCTCTGTAAAGAAAGCGATATTCAAATAGAATGAATTCCAACAATTTAGCATTTTGATAAATTGCATTTTTTTTTATCTTTCAGGTGTTTGAGGCTAATACAGATCAAGAAACTGTAGTCTGCAATGAGCTTGTACCTCCTCTTATCAGTCAATATATAAGAATTGTGCCTAAAACATGGAATGATAATATTGCACTAAGGATAGAGGTCTATGGCATTGATGCTGGTAATATATTGTATGCACTTATTAATATCTTTATTGGTGTGATTGTCGACATCTTATTATACAAGTTCAAATAATTAATAATACCTCTTGCTGAACCTCAAAATCATCAACAATTTAGCTTACAATGGGTGTGCATTTACATTGAAGCATTTTTCTGATTCAGTGCCATGTCATCTTCATCACCATTTTCATCATTTTCTTCTGTTTGTAGCATCGTTCAGCAAGCTATTTGATGTCCCTGATGACAGCATCACTGCATCTAGTGTTCTTGATGACAATCATAATGCTTGTCGAAGTAAACTGAATAGTGCTGTAGATGGTGATCAGATGGCAGGTTGGTCAGCAAAGGATATTGATGAGAATCAATGGATTCAGATTGATATTGGAAATCCTTCTGAGATAACAAAAGTCTCCACTCAAGGAAAAGGTGGTGAATCAACCCATCATGTTACTAGCTACCTGTTATCATTCAGTTCTGATGGGGAGAACTTCCAAGTATACCAGGAAGCTGGCCAGGATAAGGTATTTATATGCATAATACACTCAGATTAATCAACAATCCTACTATATCAAAGTATGAATCATGTACAATATGGTTTAAAAAGGAGTCATTGACAATAAAAAGAAACAAGAAGCACTAGCATACATGATTTACATATCTTTACGTAAGAAATATAAAATGGCGCATGTGTCTCTGTCCTCTGATATAAACACGGTGGGAGTTCGAAAAACACGAGAGAAGCAAGCTTAGGAACACGAGCGTAGCGAGTTCGAAAAACACGAGAGAAGCAAGCTTAGGAACACAAGCGTAGTGAGTGTTTCTCTTGCTTCTCGAGTGTTTTTCAACTCCCACCGTGTTTATATTAGAAGACAGAGACACAAGCGGATGTTTTATATTTCTTTTATAAAATTTTTCGACCGAAAAGAAAATTTTGCCAGTAAGCCGTGTCTCTGTCCTCTGATATAAACATGGTCGTCAGCCAATCAGAGCGCRCGTTATATATCAAAAATTTTATAAATACTTGATAAAGCATGCATCATAGGGCACATCTTCATTCACTATCCATTCAAAACTCCAATATCTTAGCGTTATTCACATATTATCTTGTTTGACCTAGGTATTTGATGGCAACAATGACCAAGAAACCATAGTTTCACACTGGCTTGCCAATCCTCCAGTTGCACGTTATGTACGGTTGCATCCCAAAACATGGAATGAAAATATTGCACTTAGAGTTGGATTTAGTGGAAAAGGTAAAATGACTTAATATGTTTGTACATATTGATTCTTTCAATTGTTGAAACAGTTTACTGACACATGACTTTCTTCATATCCTGAAGTTCTAATCTCCAGCCTTTCTTGGCTAATAAAATGTTCCAGTTATAATAAATTAACAATTGCACTAAACAGCTTGATAACAAATCATCTTACCACTGACCATGTTCTTTTTGAATTCTTCTAATAACCTTAGTTCTGTGTCAGCTCTGATAATTTCTTAATCTGCACTGTCACCAGAAATTTTATTCCTTTGTTTTTAATGATGGTAAGTGATGTACATGTTATATAAAAAAAATATTTTATAAACACATAATTAAAGTATGAATGTAACACTGACGATGGCACTAGCACTGCCTGAAACATGTCAGTAAAAATCAAGTGTTGTTATCTTTCTCAAAGATTAATAAAAGTAATACAGAATAATTGTATTTTTCTGGCTTTAAGATTGCAAAATTGCTCAATGTTTTGCAATGTGGCATGCATCTAAACAAGACTTGATGAAAACCTATCAAAATTGATATTCCATTAAATGTGATATTAAATGTTTATGATCAATATGAAATCTAAAGCATAAAACATAAATTTACCAGTAGAAATCTCATATCACCCAGACTAAAAAAATGAATTATTGATATTTAATATCAGTGTCCATGTTAACGTTTTTGGTCAACTGATTTATTTTATCAGAGCAAGAGAGCAAAACAGAAATATCAGAATCAGATAATGCCCAAGAAGAAGACAAGCAAGTTACTGGTGATGCATCTCAAGCAGAACAGGAACYACCAGCACAAGAAACAARCAARGAAGAAGGGGCAGCTGATGAAACCCCAAAAGAAACTGAACCCCAAGAATCAGCTGAGAAACCTTCTGATGCTGATGAGGTTAAACCTGAAGAACCAACAGATAAACCAGCTGAAGAAACTGCATCAGAAAAACCAGCTGACGAAAGTGCATCAGAAAAACCAGCTGAAAGTGGTGAGCCRGCTTCAGGTGAAGAGCAAAAACCAGATGAACCTCCTGAAGGCAATGAGACAAGTACAAAACCAGAAGAGGAAAGTGATGTTAAACCTAACGAAGGGGCAGAGGCTGATAGTGGTCAAGATGCAAGCCAAGAAAAACAAGATGGAAGTGAAGAAAAGAAAGATGAGCCCACAACTGAAGGTGAGGCATCCACTGATGACAAGACAAAGGAAGATGGAGAACAAGTAGCAAAACCACCTGAAGGTGATGGTGGAAGTTGAACTGTTTTCTTTAAATACTTGGAATTGCAGGGATATGAGGATTGATGYGGCTGTACTGGCAATAGTTACAATCAAGTGTGAATATWATATTTTTAATAATGTCATTCATTCATGTATTTAGTGTATTTATTAGCACTTTTATTTGTACATGAACAATAATTCCACTGTCATTCATCTTGTATAGAATTGAGAAAAAWTTTTATTAGAACAGAAAAAAAAATAATGAAAAGAAATAAACAGTTTTAGATACAAAGTAGTTTACAGTTATTTTGTGTTTGTACTATTACTGTAGGCACAATTGTCTTGAACTGGATGAATTACTAACTAGATGTTTTGTCATGTAGCAGCCGGTTGTTCCCCTGTTTCAGTTGATTCAAGCTCAGTCTTTTCAACAGTAGTATTGGTGGGTGGTGCTGAAATATATGTGTATACTCTAATGAAATACTGCTCATGTGAACAACAGATACAATACTTGTCCCAAATAGAAAACAGGTCAGGGGGGTWAATGCCTTTCCATCAAGTTACTGGGCAGTTATACAGTAAAARRAACAAATTTGATTTGTGGCACATGACTAGCTGTAYGTAGCAATGGAAATAACAATGAAACCGACTTTTCTTTTAGATGTGCATAAAATTTGTATTGTAACCTTGTGATTTGAACCTAGACTCATAATCCTACAACATTTCCTAGAAATGACACATACATGTCAAATAGTGCACAACAAGTAACCCCTCCCCCCTCCCCTTGATGTTTTTGCTGCTGTCAATCAAGACTCTGAACTGCTTTTAGGTGTCATCCCTCAAAACCAGACAAACTGATAGCAAAAAAAAAACCTCAAATTGTAAGTTAGTGTTGTTGGAATATCAGTATATTTTGGAAATTGCAGCACAACCTGAATACCTTACCTGATGCCATCCATTTTATACCAAAATACCCAAAAAGCATCATCGCAACTGCAAYCACAGCAACACTGGAATAGAAAAGTGGTGAATAGTATATTTTAAATGTACATAACATTAATGCTRCTTCAACAAACTGAAAGATGGTTGCACATCTACTGCACATTGAGGAATAGCTGATGAGCTACTTACATTGGAGATAATACAACAAGTCTTACATCAAAATTTAGAATTCTTGGCGTGCAAGTTACGYCATCACCGCCATGTTGGATGAAGATCACAAASCATTCCTCATTAGTTTCTCTTGTTCATTCATCCAACATGGCGGCGATAGCTTTGCTGTTTAATTCTCAGGGGATTCCTGGTCATGTGGTTGCACACGAAGAATTAGAGCCTCCTGTGTATGTAAGCTTATTTTAAAATACTCTAAAACAAGTTGCACAACTTAACATTTTGAAATAATCCTTACATCTTTTCGTTTTTCTTTAAGGATTTCAATCTTTCTTTTGAATAATACCAAGTACCATAATTTGTTTCYTTAATCGTGCCAGCAGCACTACTGCTATCTGCAGAAATCACAGCTCCGTCCAMAGCTCCYGCTTCATCTCCCAGTCGTGTAGTTCTGTTGTATAGAAGTTGTTCTATATCTAAATCACTTATCTTCCTATTCCTTCTGTGCTTGTATTTTCTAAAGTAATTGTTTTTTGAGCTCAAACTGCGCCTTGTGCATAGGTTCACCAAACTAAAAGTTCTAGAAACGAAATRCGTTCTGAAGGCCGCCATTTTAGTTTTCACCGAAACACAGGAAGYCCGAGCGAATATCTGGTATTTTATGAATATTTTTCTTTTATTTCATTTTTCCTATTTCTTTTTTAATATAGTTGTTTCTTACTAAAAATTTGTATGGGCCGAAGTGTTTTTTTTGTTTTAACGATTTGAGTCCGGTAATCGAGAAAAATCTATCTTGAAACTTAAATAGCACCCCAAAAATAAGGTTTTTCGATTGATGTCTCTTGATCTGAGAAAACTGGAACAAAGGCAAAACTCATTTGTTAATATCATATGGACAGTACGCTTACTGAATTAGGGGCATGTGCAGGGGGGTACCCCCTTCCTTAGCAGACAAAGACTGAAATATGAGACTCTTTGTGCCGAATGACATAGTATAATAGTTTTTTTGATGGCAAAACAGTTTGGAACCTCCGGTAAAACCTCCCTTATGAGCCCCCTGCACACGCCTCTGTTAAAGGTTGCATCTATGGGCGTTGGACGCAGCAACACTGATCATACATTTTAACAAAAACATGCTGTGCGTGGATAAGACAAGAGGATTCGAGTATGGCCCAATACACGTATCACGCAACTGATCGCAAAACTCTGTATGAGTGTGATAACAACTATGACAATTACCTTTCCCATTTTCAAGAGCGATACAATTCGTAAAACTAGAGCTTTATAAGGAAACTATATAATTTTGAATTAAATTTTAATAATGTAGTGAGTTAAGTTATTGCATGATTCAATTCACATTCAGTCTTAATTCAAGTTGACGACGCGTAACATTTATAAAGTCTTTCCGGAGACTATAAAATTTGCACGCAAGTAACAACAAAAAATAGGATTCGTTTTGCAAATGACTTTTCAGATTTATTGAATCTCTTTGAGACCATGTTTCTCTGGTGGTTGTATAGTTGGCTGTTTAAAGATATTAAATTGTGTGCAAAAAAACAGAACATTTTGAATAAATTTACCGGAATTTCGAGCGGGGCAGGAAGTGACGTAAGTGAAATATGGTACTTTTAATATCTCTCAGATTGTACAAAAATCGTTGTGGTAATTTCTATGCTTCAGTTTCCTCTTAACTCTTTAGATTTAAAGATGCAACTAAAATATTTATTCAAGTCAGGTTAAATGCCTGAAATGCCGCTCTGTGATCGACTGTTACTATAGTATTTTGCTGACCACAATTATCACAGGCTCAGGAGTAACCAATATACCTAACAAGGAAGGATCCATACAACATATTTATGTCTAAAAGTCGTTTTGTATCCTTATGCAAGAGCGTTAACTGCACAAAAAGGCACATTGGATATCATTTTTCTGTTTTTTCTAAAGCCAGCATGAAAGGTAKGATTGTTTCCACTAATTTTCTAATGTTTATGCCAGCGAGGGCACAAGGTTGCCACAGAAGGAGCCGGGTTTCAGAAAACCCGCCAMTTCTCATAAAACACTTGAAGTTTACATAAAATTCATTTGAGTAACARTCAAAAACAGTTCGTCGATTTTGTATTGAGACTTGGCCCATAAATGTGCTGGCAGAGCATATTTTTGAGACGGTGTTCTGAACACGCGGACAAGTCTTACATTGATAGAAAAACGATCGCTATTTGCTTAAAATAGCACTAACAGGATTTTAATATATCCAGCTGTAAGAGTATAAATGGGATAATATCTATACTTTTCACTCAAACTTAGCTGTCCTTTCGCAAGTTCAGTTGAAATTGTACTTAAATGTTATGTATGTATATTCATAAATCGCGTCAATGTCTTTTCCCGTCAGTAAGCTTATGTAMACGTCCATCACGCCACAATACGTTGAAGTATCACGATTGATTTGCTGATACCTTCAATAACTAAATGAAGAATCAAGTTTAGTTTAGGTTGCCAATGGTGTTTATTAATTCAAAATGTGCGTAATTTTTATCCTGGGCAGTTTTCGTTTTTGCTATGTAAATATTAGTGGTGTCGTAAGCCTTTTACAGCTGTCACCTACCAGCTTTTGCGATATTTTTTCTCCCATTGGTCAGTCCAAATGTCGTCAATAATACATGTTCKCCAAAGAAAATAAAAGTGATATATTATTATGAAAGTAATGCCAAAATGCTTCGTTCATGTTTTATCAAACATATATCTAAGTTATAAGACAATAAACAATAGAAATAAGTTAAGTTATAGTTCAAATGACAACTCCTTAGAACAACAGGCAATCTTGCCACGAAAGCTACTTTCTATTCATTTGAATAAAAAAAGCTGGACTAAGCATAAAACATAGAAGCTGAAACTGTAATGGTTTATGGTAAGTCTAGCATAAAATAAAATGAATTCTGTGATCAACTGCAAAAATGTCAACTGGCTGCCTTTTGTTGTCAGCTTCTATGTATTTTGAAGCTGGCAAGTTTTTTTCCGTGTTGATTTTAGTATTTTATCTGCTGGATTAGGATTTTATTGTCTTGGCAACTGTTCTAATCACTACTGGTCTATCTTAATAAGCTCTTGCATTCATAATTCTTTAGAACTTAACATAAATACAACCAACTTGTTCTTTGTACAAATGGTGAAAGGTGCTATCTACACAATATATCATTCTCCATTAGACAAAATCATTACAAAATATATAGAATGATTGACTTTCTCACTCTGTGCAACTGGACGCAGGGCAACAAATAACAGCAAATTATCAGGGAGACTTGATGTAAACCGTCTTTTAGCCTAAAAAAGTCCATTCAGACAAAGATCTAAATGGTAAAACCWGTCTGTTTACCAACTCCTAGTTTGTGACCTACATGCACCCTGCCATTACATTAAAAATCTTATTACTATATTGAACTCTTAATATAAAATATATACAAACCCCATACCAAAATAATTAAAAAAAAAATCCTTTTTCTGCACCCCCAGTTGTTATGGATACTTAATAATTATTGTCCCCAAGGTGTCCATTATAATAAAAGTTGATTGTATAACTTATTGATGAGGGTTGWTAATAATCTTTTATTACAGGAACCATCAAGAAATCCAAGCCCCTGGTGCTTTGTGGACCAAGTGGTTGTGGGAAAAGTACACTCCTAAGAAAACTATTTACAGACTACCCTAAACAATTTGGCTTTAGTGTATCTCGTAAGTAAAGTATAACAAATATCAAAGCATTTCCATGTTTGCAGGAAAGTAAGATCTAAGTATTGTGAAAATCTCTTTAAAAAAAAAGATCCATTTATGGAATCTAGTTATCTTATAAAGATGTTGTATTTATATTTCACTCAGATACTACAAGAGCTCCAAGACCAGGAGAGGTCAATGGAAAAGGTACTATTATTGTTGTTTATCTAGTTTAACATCATTCCAATATTTACTAATCTTGTTAAAATTGTTTAGATTACCATTTTACTGATAGAGAAACTATGACAAACAGCATAAGCAGTGGKAACTTTATTGAAAGCACAGAGTACAACATGAATTTATATGGAACAAGGTAAAAACTAATAACATAGTGCCCCAGTTATCTCTTATGACATGTTTTTAACATACAAGCAATTTTGGTTTTATTTTTATCTAAGTACCATTTCATTTTGTCTAGCTGCACTATACTAAAATGTAAATTTTTTGCAATTTCTGCAGTAAAAAGGCAGTCCAAGATGTGATGGATTCTGGTAGAGTTTGTATCTTGGACATTGACATGCAGGTATTGAAAGTTGGTGGATTTAGGTTCCTGTATTTTAAAAGAAACTGAAATGTTCAATAATGCTTTACAGGGTGTGAAAAACATGAAGAAAACAGATATTGAATGTTTATATGTGTTTACCAAACCTCCTTCTTTAGAGGAACTAGTAAGTTATCATGATCATTATCAGTTTTGTTCAAACATTTTGGTTTTTGATATGCTTTTAACATAGCTTAGTGCTGTGGAGAGTCGTAGCTAGTGAAAAAGTTGTGCAAACTTTTGTTAATCTATTTCGAGCACAAAAGCAGAAAACCGTGTCTCTGTTCTCTTATATGAAAAATATGCAAATATCAAATAACATATTATGGGCTTGAAGATATTGTGGAATTGATGATATCCTTGAAGATTTCAATGATAAACATATAAAGCCATTGCCAGGATTGCCATTAGAAGYCACTGCTTAACATTCATTAATCAAATTTTGATTGACAGGAACGTCGTCTTCGTAGTCGTGGAACAGAGACCGATGATTCAGTCAAGAGAAGGTTAAAGATTGCTGAAGATGAACTAGCTTATGGTATGTATCCTTACAAATCCAGGTCACTCTTCTTTATTTGTTATACAAATATCATCAATTTACACATGGATTACTTGTCAAGCAACTGGTAATAAATCTTATCTTCTCCAGTCCATGGGGTACAAAAGAGGGGGTAGGATATTGGGATCCAAAAAAATCATCCCCCTCCCCTTCCCTACAAACAAAATCCAAGGTGATTAMTCGGTAATTTTCTTATCTATGTTTTTAGCTAAGGAACCTGGATCATATGATTACATTATTATCAATGATGATCTTAATCAGGCTTATAAAGACTTTAAGAATGTCATCAGTAAGGTATTAAATGATTTCTCCGTTCCTTGTTATTTTTTTTTTACAACTTTGAAAAGTCTGTGTTCTATTTGTGTTGTACATGTCCATCAGTTGGTAACGAGTGTTGTGTTGATTTTTATTATATTTKCCTGATTTACTTGTTTGTAGCATACTTCAGACTTTTTTATTCCAATTTTTTCTCTGTTTTAGGAACTCATCCAACTATCATAACCAMTTCCAAACCATTTTACCGTCACTGGATTCAAATAACGCGGGCGCATTAATATGCCATCAAGCCCAGTCTACACKGACAATTTTTATGGCGTGTAGCCTGTTTTAAGCAATATTGGTCATTTTTTATGTTGTAACTGTATTTGTTGGAAAGCTGGAATGTTAGTTTTGATTTTGCACATAAAAATCTTCTCGGGAAAATACAAAATTGCCTAATAACAATTGTTCGTGTAGACTGTGCATGCAATGCACCTGAGGGCTAGTCAAAGCTGTTTTTAAGTTATTTCTGGGTGCATCGCTGGCTAAGAATTCAGAGAAAGTATATAATAATTGGTTGTAACAAAAGCATGAATGTAAATTATTATCCAATATTATGCATTGTTTTAAAAACATCCTSGTAGTAAAAAGCACTTTGTTCGTACATATCCAGTTTTATAAACATTGCCAAAAAGATTTTTACGCGACCGGAACATTAAAGAGAAGCAGAATCTGACATGTTTAGGCCGTGAATGTGCTGTAATCGTGATGTTTTTTCAGCTCAATTAGAGTTAGCAAACTCTGATCCGATATGTCAATATCGCTGGTTCCGTGACCTTATTGTGTGTTGTCCGCCCTGTTACAGACCGAATGCCAATGTGGCTACTATAATTTACATAATGTTTAAAAATCGGTAAAAGTAGTTATAAGAGTTTACAAATTTAGAAAAAAAAAAACGAAATATTAAAGGATGCTGGCACGGAAGTGTTTGGCTGAACTCATGAAGATCCATGAACGAACTTCGCAAATATTGAATGTTTAGGAATTAGAATTTGAAATGCTGTCTGTTGAGTCTTTCAGATTTCTCGGTTTTATCTAAAATTTTTAACTTTGGAGAAACATTCGGCGGCCATACTGACGATTGATTGTATGGCAATGTTTGTTATCCATGTCATTTGAAATAGGATTAACTACCTCTAGAAAATGACAAGGCGTGTTCTGACAGAAAAAATGATGTTTTTTAAGATACTGTAAGCACGCCAAGATTCATTTGTAAGCACGCCAAGATTCGTGTTATAATAATTACCAAGTGAAACCTCGAGCGCTCCTACTGACTTTTCTGTATTTGTTGTATAAAATACTATCGACCCTTTGTAAAGATAGATTTTCGTCAGGTTTCTTATTCAAAATGTGCTTCCATACTTTGATTCACGCATGTAATATTTTATGCAAAGAATAAAAGATTTTATTCTGCAATGGGATCAGCTAGTCTAAAATGGGGGGCCTAAGATCCTTCACTTACTTGGTAAATTTTTTACTCTTTTCTTATCCCTAGCAATCTCAACCCGTGAATGAAAAGGAAACAATGCGAAAGGTTCTGTTTCACAGGTTTATTGAAATCACTGTTTCAAAAATGTAATCATTTGTAAGCACGCCAAGATTCGTGTTATAATAATTACCAAGTGAAACCTCGAGCGCTCCTACTGACTTTTCTGTATTTGTTGTATAAAATACTATCGACCCTTTGTAAAGATAGATTTTCGTCAGGTTTCTTATTCAAAATGTGCTTCCATACTTTGATTCACGCATGTAATATTTTATGCAAAGAATAAAAGATTTTATTCTGCAATGGGATCAGCTAGTCTAAAATGGGGGGCCTAAGATCCTTCACTTACTTGGTAAATTTTTTACTCTTTTCTTATCCCTAGCAATCTCAACCCGTGAATGAAAAGGAAACAATGCGAAAGGTTCTGTTTCACAGGTTTATTGAAATCACTGTTTCAAAAATGTAATCATTTGTAAGCACGCCAAGATTCGTGTTATAATAATTACCAAGTGAAACCTCGAGCGCTCCTACTGACTTTTCTGTATTTGTTGTATAAAATACTATCGACCCTTTGTAAAGATAGATTTTCGTCAGGTTTCTTATTCAAAATGTGCTTCCATACTTTGATTCACGCATGTAATATTTTATGCAAAGAATAAAAGATTTTATTCTGCAATGGGATCANTTTTGGTAATTTAACAACTTTGTTCAGTAAAATGAAAACCTGTCCGATTTCATTGACAGCAAATTTGAATATATACAACGGTTATATTCACATCTGGATGCATTTTGGAGATTAATATTCTATACCTTTTGACAATTTGACAGCTTTGTTCAGTAAAATGAAAACCTGTTCGATTTCATTGACAAGAACTTTATTAGGATCAACATTAAACTGGCAATTACCAAAGATTTGGTAAACAATGAATTTCTTAATCACCGAAAGAAGGGGGCCTATTATATTATACGTTGGAGATTGTTCTCATTTTTGTTGCGATTCACTGTTGCGAAGGTATCGCTCCCGTTGCGGAAAGCTGTCGGTTTGCAAACCGGCCTTACGCTTTCATTGCACTTTGTGTGTATAATACGGTATGAAATATTGCATTCAGGATAAAAATATTAAAAAGTAACGGTGATTATTAATCAATTTGATTAGCGGAGGTTGACGGAAAAAAGGGGAAAATAGGCGGTTAAATTATTGAAACTAATTATAATAGGACCGAAAAGAAAGTTTCTGGTATTGGTACTGGTACTGGTATTGGTTTTTAGTGAGTTTATTAGTATCAGAAACTATTCGATCGACATTAAGTTGATAGAGTGAGTGAGCATCTGTCTGAATAATCAGTAAAAGGTATTAAAAACATTGACTAGATGTCCATGTTATCAATCGTAGAGGGGGTCTTCCTCTATGAATTATGCAGTTTATAAATGATAATTTTTCCTGGTCATTGCGACTGAAAGTGATCCCACTTTCTGAACTTAATCCCTATGACAGTGATCCCATCCAATGCCTTACAATCCTGATCATGCCAAAAATAAAACTGATGTAATCCCCTGATCCTCAAAATAATGCCTGCTTGGTCTCGTACCTGCAGTATGTCTAATATAGAAAATGAAATCAACATAAGTAGTTTTGTTGTATTTCAGAAATGAAAATAATAGTATTTTTTTTTCGTGATTTTTAATAAAATATGGGTGTATTTACACAGGTGAAAGTCGCGCTCATTGTCTTGGGTTTGAAATATCCTGGGGGCTTAGACGTGTTATCCATTCTTTTCTAACTAGTTCAGTCTCTTTAATATCTGTATGTGTCATTGTACGATTATAAATTAAAGCGATAAATCATAGTCAATGCTATCATCAATTCTGCTTTCAGCGTCACGTTTTTGTAAGTAATAAATATTTCCTCGTGAAATCTCCATTACCAAAGTGAACATACCAATTAATACTAGAATGTCAGTCACTACGAAGTAATTTGTTGCTCAATATGTTTATTTTTGACATAATATTGAGTTTCCAGTATTCAAAGTACCGTTTAATGGTAAAAGTATTCTTGTTTTTCAGCTATTTTACTGTCATCACTGTCCGGAGAACCCAGACTTGGAGATTTCCCTGGCAACAAATATTTATACTGTTCTTTTAAGTTGCCTTGACAACATTCTAACTAGCAAACGATAAGAAATTGTTCAAACAAAACTGCTCAGCATATAAGTAATATTTGGATAAAGAATTTTGATAGAGGAGAAATCAGATTGTCCAGATAGGGAATCATTGTCAATTGACATGGTTCCGGTATTGTCAGCAACCAACGTATGCTAAAACTTCATATCATAATAAGGCAAAATCTTCAAACTTGAAATGTGCTCTCAGGTTTCGTCAACAGAAAAGACTGAGGAAACATGATCTAGTAGTCATGCCAATAACTGTATAAACGTTCTAAAGAGCAAAAAAGATGAAATCGCGTAGAGATCCGATGTTAGATTTGGCAATGCTGTTGGCCGTCAGTTTAACTTTCTGTGTGCATCCGACATTGCAGCAAGCCAATCAAACGAACACGACTAATAACACAACAAGCTCTACGATTTCTCCTTTCACGAATGTTGTCTCAACAGTTAAACCAACAACACAAGCAAGTTCTAAAGCCTGCCTTTGGGGAAGGGATGTCTGGCGAATATGTTGGAGGAACAGCCCGCCGTATGTCTTCAATAATAAAAATAAAAGCGACGTGACTGGGATTCTAATCGAAGTTTTGACTAAAGGATTAGGTATTTGCGGATGCAGCACCAAGTTAAACTTCACAATGGCCAACAGTTATGAAGATTTTTTAAACTGTTCAAAGTCAGATTCTATTGACATTGCCCTGCCATTTCCTGAAAATAAAGCTGCTTTGCGAACATGGCTTTACACCGTTGTCGATTCTCCTAACATCTACCTGCTTCTAAATCGAAAAACTGTCGAAACTGAAGCAAAAGACCGTGTATTATCTGAGTTTTTTTCAGTTTGGACAATTGCTGTTTTGACGGTGCTTTTGGCCATTATATTTGGAATAATAGTCTGGTTTTTGGTAAGTAGGTATATCTAACATCTCTTTGTTTCTACAAGGAAAAGACATCCGAGAATTCAATCACATATCTTAATTTTTATATAGCTATAATAACAATACACTCAACTTTTACTGTATTGGTTTATCAAAGAAGACATATAACTGAGACATTATTCCATTACGCATACTAGAATGCTTATTATTTGTGTTTATTTTGTGAGCACATGAACACAAGTCTTTGGAAACCATATATTGTTCTGATGACGTATGTCGAAACCTTGTACTTCCCTTCGCGCTTTTAATATTGTTGTAAAGTCAATATTCCAACTTTTCGTGAATGGATTCGGTTTCCTCAAGAGCTCATTGAAACTTAACATCCCTTCTAAATCACTATTTCACTTTAAATTTTCCATATCTTATAATTACGTGCTTACGTCATTGTTTTTTTAGGGCTTCCCTTCCATTTTTTTTATCAATGACAGTTAAATTTCACTCAGATTTAATAATTGTATAACGACTGATCCAACGTTTTGATACATATTTTGCGATTACACTTAGGTCACACCAGTTTTAGTGAAGTTCAATTTCCGACGGAAATCAAATGAGTGGGATCGATTTTTAGGAAAAACTAAAGAAATATTTTTGTTGAGTTCTGTCTTATATCTGTGATCTCGAGAAAACTCTTAATGGTTCGAGATTTTACTGATAATTTTGATGATTAACCTTGCAAAATAAATAATAGTTACGAACAAAAACTAAATGATAATGTTGTCCGTGCAGAAATGGATGGAACAGCGAAATGAAACAAACAATGGATGGTATAATATGTATCGAGGAATGAATAATTGAAAACTGAAATGAAAGGAATATTTTAATAGTTTCTCATCCACTTGTTCAGCAATCATTCAGTGCATGAATTAATATTATCAGAAAATCTACTTAATYTAACTATGACAGGGCAGTATTGATAATACGGACCAATACTGACACATTTCAAAGGCAAACTTTTGATTAAGGAATTTTTAATAGGTTTTCTAATAGGCGTTGAATGACCAAACTTAAAATTGGTGATATAACGAATTTGGCATTGAGTTTCCAACAGTCATGTTCTATTGTTTTTATTGCATCCAGCAAAAAAATCATTCGAAAAGGAAACAACAACCTTGAGTCAGAATATYAAGAGTGTAATTAGGAAAACAGTGCTAACCGTTAATGCCATAACAACTGAAATGCCAAAATGAGGCATTAAAAGTCGACTTGTGCTCTAACTTTTAATCATGCGAATGCCGTTCAACTGTAATTTTTAATGCACATGTACCCTTCCTTTTGCTGTCAAACTTTTCATTTCTGCTGAGAGTCGAATCTCACCATGCTTTAATTGAAGTCGTGTGTGGCAATTAATTGAACGGCTTCAACTGTTTTCTAGTACTTTTGCGAGTAATGTCCAATGTTTGCCATGARGTTGAAAATATTTATCCTTACAAGGTACTGGCATTCACATTTTTAATATAGCAAAGAGGGAAATAGCACGATATCGGAAAAAACACATAGTRGATGGTTTGTTTTGAAAAGACTTCTAAGTAGAAAGTACAAGTCATTTGTCACTTATTTGTACTTCAGTACTCTAGATGTTTCTAATACAAGGACTCCGTGATTTCCGTTTTGTGAAAAGAGACTTCAAAATTAATAACGGAACGAACCGGTCCTTCAAAGAGCTCTTTAGTAAAAGCCCTTTTGATGAACTTACTAGAAAGAAACCTCCGAGTTCCWGAAAAGAAAAGAAATGTTTACGGCGTCATTATACTATGTTGACAAAGTCCGGAAGAGCTCCGCTCGTAGGTTTATTTTCTTTTAAAGGTTTAATGAATTTTTATTTAATTCTTTTAAAAGCCTTTTTTACTATAAGTTAAGCCATTTATAGGATTCAATTCTTCGTATTGTTCAAAAACAGAGTAAGCATGATTACCATAAAGAGACTAGTGATTATCATCATGGTTTTAAACTCCCCTTCCTTAGCTTCCCCCTTTTTGTGAATGGCGGTAAAAAATTCTGTTTAATTCTGAATATCTTATTGCATGAAATTGTCACGCGCAGCAGAATGAAAAACTGATGAACACCTGACATTGAAGAAATTAAAACAAAAACAGTTAGTTTTGATAAAGATATTGGAACCCAATTTACGTACGATGGAAGATTWTTGCCTGTATGTGGTCTACACTCAATTAGTGGCAAGACCAGGCTTTTCCACTGCCTAGACAAAGTTATAAATCATTTYTGTCTAGTATTCTTATGGATGACTTCACGCTGATTTGGAAATGGATGCAAAAATGATTCTTTGGTATATATTTGTATTTTAAATTTTAAACCTCGCCGTAATAACACTGATTTTCATCTTTGTTGAATGTTTGCGGTTTGCTGCCGGAAACTGGCAAAAAAAAATAAAGAAAGGAGGAAAGAAAATGAAAGAAAGAAAACAAAGGGAACAGGCATACCGTGCAAGGAAGGTTTTTATRTGATGGCTCAGGGGTACAACTTTGCTGCGACGGAAGCCATTAACTATTATTATTTATTCATGATTTTTGAATTTCTCTGATTTCGTATTTTACCAGTCTGGTGTAGGCGTATCGAGATGATCTTCCATTTCTATGGAAAATATCTCAAGCTTAGTGAGCTTAGCTCAAATCAAATAAGGACAGCTGATTGTCTGCAGCTAAAATCCCTTTGTTTATCTACAGATATCGTACTATCAGAAATCTCTTATCGATTAGATGTATATCAAAGAAGACAGTCAAATTGTTGCGTTTTTCTATGTTTGCTGCATGACGAGACTCGTAATTCGAACTTTGTCAGTTTTCTTTGATCAGCTGGGACTTTTCCAACTGAACTTACCAGTTTTAGTTGATATTCATTTTAAGCTTTTTTTAAAGATATCAATGTTTAAGACTTAGGATGATATTAACGATTAATTTGTAATAATGTATACAGGACATGAAATGGAATACCGAGGAATTCCCGGCGTCCTTTGTACCAGGATCACTCGAAGGGATATGGTGGTCTTTTGTTACCTTGACAACRGTTGGGTACGTTAAACCTGAAAATGAGCCAATTCAATTATAATGTCATTCTGATTTGTAAAAATGATACTAGTTGACACAGATAAAATTTACTAATTGWTCGTATTTCAGGCAAAAATTTATTTGTCAACATGCATGGTTCAAATTTTGGAAGAGCAGAATGTCTAGTACTGATGATTAAGAGATAATTATTCGTGTGGTTCTTGTGTTTATATGAATTTTTGGAGAGTTTAGTGTTGAATCAAATGTGTTCAGATGATTTATTCTTTCACTGTACATTAACTCTATGAAACGTCGGTTTGTCCAATGTTATATGCCCTTCCCTTTTCTTCTTGGTTTGATTTTATCATATCTTCAACGTTATGCAGGTAATGATAACTTTCTCTACCTTTATAGATACGGTGATAAGACTCCTAAATTCCCGGTGGCAAGGATTTTGGCTGTAGTATGGATGTTCATAGGCATGGCAATGATTTCTCTGCTTACAGCAACAATGACCAAAGCGTTAACAACAGCAGTCTTTGACTATCAARCTTATATACAATCAAAAAATAGGGTGAGACACTGACCTTGATTCGCACACACACGYAGACAGACGGGCATAAGGATGGAACGATATTACATCTAATCAGARCGTACTCTTGATTTGTTCATTGATATTTAAGAAAAACGATTCGTTTTTCGMCAGATTGGAGTGTTGAACCATAGCTACACCTTCAATGAAGCTGTTAAGAAAGGACTCAAGATACAAGGTAACTCTTTGTATAAATAAGAAACAGTCAGTTCATAAAAATATAAAAATATATATTCCTAACTGACTTAGTAGCTCTTTCTTGCGCTCGMCTGAAATTGTTGGCTTATGAATTGATACATAGGGGRCTTTATTGGTAAACGCCCATACATAAAGAGCACAAGGCAAGACCCCCTGCATATGYAGCACGAGTACATCGATCTCATAACTCGTCACATGATATTATTATGCAATTCTTTTACGATAATTCATCTTTTAACACAGTATTTCCCAACTTGGAGGAAATGTACACAACCCTTGATGATCCAAATAACAAARAGATTGGAGGCATTCTTGTCGACATATTTGTAGCGACCTACGTCAAGAACAACCGAGAGCGCTTCAAACTGAGCAATACTCTTTTTATGGCCAAATCGTTCGATGTCGTGTAYCCCCTTGCGTTCTATCTGTCTCGAGGAGTCACACGCAAAATGCTTTYCRGTCCAAGTCTGCCATACAAYCATTTCAGCTATTGTTTTTCCAAGACGTTTYTAACAACAAACCAGCAAATCAACGTTTATGCAATCGTAGACAAGTACATCCAGCTGCGTCCCTCAGGATCTAATGTAAGTGGAAAAATTCTTAGTGTTCACTACACCTTGAAGCAAGCACACTACCACCGTTAAAGAACTCTAAATTAAATTCGACGTCAAAGTAGTATATATACAAAGCCGGTTGACAATCCATCCAAAATCTATGTGGAACTTTCTTCACCCTTCGAACCTACAACACAGTGGCGTCCTCACCTCATTATTTTAGAAAATCATCATTTTTCATAATGAAAATCATCCTTTTTCACTTCACAGAACCAAGAATCAGAAAATGGAATCAAGTTCGAAATTGACTTGTTTAAACAAACTGAAAAGACGTTCCTTGATGGTGTTAAAATACTCAGTGGAGTACTTGGAGTTCTCATAATATTGGGATTCCTTTGGCAAATCGTTTATTTCCGACGATCTCAGAGTGAAAGCTTCATAAGGAAATCAAAAGGTAAAGCTAACTGACTGACCGACCAACTGACCACCGACCGACTGACCACCGACTGACTGACCGAGCAACCGACCGAGCAACTGACTGACCGACCGACTGACCGACCAACTGACTGACTGACTGAAATATGTCATTTTATACATTTCACTTTTTTATATTTATTGATTTGAAAAGATGTGTTGTTTAGGTGGAGATATTGAATCAATCGACATGACTTCACGGAATCACAGARCGAATAAAAAGATCAACGTTATGATGGAAAAATTGCACGAAGTCGACAAAGCACTGAATACTCTTTCTGAGTTCAGGGAAATGTTGGAACAATACAAAAGAGAATCTAATAGATATGATTCAGGGATTGTTAATGGTGCAGCTCAAAATGACCCAGCAGGGGCGTCAATAAATAAAGGCTTCAGTTTGAAACCAAACAACATGTAAMATGTTCCAGACAACGTGGACAAACTCTTAGYGTTTTTTTACTCGTTATAAATACCATACATGGTACAAACTATGAAGCATAGTTGTGTAAAGGATTTTATATACAACAGAACGGACCCAATGGCTTTAGTTACTTAAGGCGCACATTAATTTACAAACGCTTAATTAAAGACGTACATCTCATTTGTATCTCAGTTGTAATTAATATTAACCAATTTTTTTTGTAAACGTTTAATTTGATTTCAAAATAGAAAATAAAAACTTAGATAAACGAGTATTTATTAGATCATTGTATTGGGCTTCCTGTGGCCCGAGTATCAACACAATCTCCTCATCCTTTCCACTGCTTCATATTATTCCCAGTGTAATTCTGCACTAGACGTATAGAGAGTGATTGACAAATGTTTTCATGGTATAATCACATTAATAGATCTATAGTCTACAGAAAAAAAAGAAAAACTGAAAAAAAAAGAACACGACCCAGCTGTGACTCGAACCCATGGTGACAAAGTCGAAAAAGATTGGGACGATTCCCCCGAGACATTCTGTGAAGCTGAGGCGTCGAATCGATTTACATTCCGGTTAGAGATTTCGGCTMTTCCATGCTATCCCGATAATTGGTCCTAACTTCGCGCTAACTAAAAAGCCAGTGAGGGAGAAGCTATCCGGCCCCTAGACACTGATGGATAACCCCTTGCACTAACTAGGCAACTATCGAAAATATAATGTCAAATTGGGGTAGTCTATTCGGCGAAAGTGTCAAGTGGTCTATTATTATGTAAATGAGCATGGTCCTGTGGCGCAACTTGTTAAGGCGCTGTGCCCAAAATCCGATATTGGCAAAGTGGCTTAGGGTTCRAATCCCGAGATTATGCATCACTTTTTTATCGGAATCTATTATATTTTGTTTTTTTCATCAATTTTCAAACATTATTTTCTATTTTTATTTATTAGTATTTATATTTATTTATCTTTTATTTTTTATTTTTGCCATTATCATGCCTTTGCCAAAATTGTGTGGGCTCCCTGTTCCTTACCCAAATGACGTAAATAATCGAATTTACGAAAGTTAACCGACGGTTTTACGGTGCGTTTTCGGATTCCCGAGACCAATGAGATGGCTGCACGTCGGCTGCACATCCTCCCAGGCAGCCATCTTTGTTGACATCATTCGCTATTCTTGTTGTCTTGTTTTGAGAAATTGCACAAGATTTTTTGATATTCATACGCAACGATAACACAAGARTAAACGGCAGACTTCAGTTCATACAATATGGACTCTTTGTTTGGCAACAGAAGGATTTCTATCAACGCCCTAAAGGATTTTTCAAAATTGTAAGTACAAAACTCAATCTTCCGTGTATAAAGCTTTTCTCTTCCTTGCAGCGACAAATTCTTCAMTATTTTAGCTTAGTACTCTCATGTTACATAATAATTGCACATCTTTGTGCTTGGTTAAGGTATACTATGAAAYATTTCATGTGTTTCTTGTTATTTGAACGCTTTCCAGCTGAGTTTCTATTTCGAAAGTGAAAGCTATTTGAACGAGTTTAGCTGTCAAAGCACTTTTTTAGGCTTAATCAAGCTTCATTTCTATCATATAATTTCTATGATTTAAAATTTGTATCATATATAAGCAACAGTGTRATTATAATTTGTTAAAGTGCATATTACTTACTCGACGAATTTGTTGATGGTTTTTATTATAAACTTAAGTTAAAGCTTTAGTTAAAGCTTAGGATATTAAAATTTTATTATATTGCAATATAWTAAAATCTTGACATTTTCAGGTATTCTTGCATATAAAAAGCTGCAAGTCTTTATAGATTTACATTAATCGAGAATAATAATATAATAAAATAACAACTTTGTAAGGAAATGTTTAGTGCTACATTCAGTAGACTACAAGCTACTGATATTTTATCATTTTGACTTTGTMAGTACTGGTTTTAAAAACAACAATCTTTAAGTTGATTTTGTTTAACTTCTATGTTTACTTGTGTAGAAAATGGAGATAGGGAGGGAAATGAAGAATTGCACCACTGAAAGAAGCAGAGCATACCGTTTCTGTTTGATATTGTGCATTCTTCGCTCCTTCTGTCTCTATTA